AAACAAATAAACAACGTTTAGTACCTCCTTACGGTCGATCGTCAGGTTAAGGTAATAAAGAATTTGTACAGAGTAACCATTATTCATCACGTCAGCCGTCTCTACTATATATATATATATATATATATATTTACTTCAAGTGGATTCCTTGTCATCGTGAATTTTTCTTTTATTTCATCACAGTCAGTCATATAGCGAATCAAAATTGACAACTGACTCACATTGTTGATATCCGAGAATTCATAAGTCATTATAGAGTAATGTTTGTTATTCAATTCCGACGAGTCACAATCATCTAGAATTTCGGAAATGCAGGTCAGCAGATCGCAAGTTGTAGCTTGATTCCTTACATATATCAAACAGTCGCTCTGATTTTCCACCCACTGCTTCGTAGAGTCGTCTTGTAGCATAATAAGATGAGAAATCAAATATTCATACTTTGTAGTATGTAGGATTTCTTCTTTGCTAAGAAGTAAATGCTTCTCACAAAGGCAGGTATTGCTTTTCAAATGCATTCCCGGGTCTACTTTTGAACAAATAAAGTATGAACTGATCTTTTAAGACCCTCTTCATGACGCTTATGCATTGCATGAGCAGGAGCATGTTTCTCAGATTTAGAATGTTTGTCGAGTATCCTGGTATTCTCAGTTGCTTTTCCAATGTTGATAAATGGAGTTCTTATGAAAACACCACCTGTTCTATGTAATACAGCTAAATAAGTTTTAAAAATTATCTGCAGTACTTACAAAACACCCTTCCAAGAGATATATCAAAAACAGCCATTCATAGTTCTCTTCCCATTTCTTCTGGTATTCAACTGAAGTTGATGAAGAAGGGAAGGAAGTTGCAGCATCACCAACATCACTAGTTTTAAGACTCGGCTGTTTAACTTCATTTTGAGCCAGAGACTCAGCATTAGCACCACTACTCATTACGTTTAATCTATATTTCTTTGTAACAAACTGTATAATTGATTTCTGCGAAATACTTCACCACAGAAAAATTCAAATCAGAAAGTTTAATCCCAATGTCAAATAATACACAAAACAACCAAATAACGCAAAAAACTCTACTCTACAAATAGTTTCCATTTGGGCTTATAAGGCATGAAACACTTTTCTAGAAACGTACACACATCTAATAGTGTCTACACTTCGAGAAATGTGAAGAATATTCAGTAACACGTCTAGGTTTATCTTATACAATCTAACTAATTCTGGATTCTTTGATACAAGCCCCTCCTTCTCGCGATACATATTGGCTAGATGTCAAGGTAAATATGTCTTTCTTCGAGAAGTCACCAGAATTTTGCATTTTTCCACTTTTACTATTGTTAGGTCCAGGTATTCGATGGAGTAAGAGTAAATCCTGACTTGTGTCATAATTTTCATTCGGTTGTTAACATTTTCTGCAAAAAAACTAATAATAATAATAACGTCCGCAAAAAAAGACAAAATAGTTAAAATATTACAGATGGATCTGCATGGAGAAAATACACCCTGTACATCCTTTGGATTCAACACTGCCCTAGATGTATCAGCAGGTATTTTATTGTTTAATTGTTATGTATTATTATAATTTACAAATAGAATGTTAACAGTTCACTCAAGTTAGGCTAGTTAATTAGGAATTAAATTGAGTTAACGAAGCTGTTTTAAAAGTGGCTGCATTTCGATTTATTACTAGCACAATTTTATTTTTTTTATTTTAAATTGTAGTCAGTATAAACTGAATTAATGTATGAAATAACAAAATCTACTTTTATTTCCTTGTGGTTCTTTTTGCTGTTCACTTATTATTCCTTCTGTCGGTTATTTGAATGTTATAATTTTCCTATACTGAAAATGTACTTCCGATAGATACTTACTTGTCTCACAAGATTAGCTATTCTCGTTCAGAGCTGCCCTCTATATGCGAACTTTTTTTTGCACATGCCACAAACCTTCTGCCCCCCCTCCTAGTTGGAATTATTATACTCCAGCGTGTCTCTCATATAAATCATCATGGTCATCTCTTAACCAATAGTAGCATGATATGCACATGTGATGCCTGTGACTCCCTCTACAATCTTTTACCGAACCTTGACTTCGAAGGTGTGAGCACCGGAGAAGTAGGAGAAGAGGGAAATATCTATCCTATCAGAAATACATTTTCAGTATAGGAAAATTATAACTTCTATACCGTACTTACCTCCTTAGCTAGAATCACACATTAAGAAAGAGGAGGGATTAATGGGAGGGAACAAAAGAAGTATCCTTGAAAGCATCCAAAGGATACCCCTGACAATGAGAGAGAGAGAGAGATCAGAAGAGGGAAACCACACCACTTCTGAGCCAGATATATGTGTGCCCATGTGTGGAATGTGTTAGAAATAAGGGTGGAAATGGATTGGAAGACCACACTCAATAAGTCAACTAAATCCAAAGCCTCCTCGCGGGGTACCGACATCCACGCGAGAATAGGATGTGGATCATACCATCTCCATCTCAAACCCAGGAATCGGAGATTATGACCCGCATGGATTTCTGCGTATGACATGAGGATCATCACTGATCTATTGATCCAGGAATCGACATCTGGTATAAAATAAATGGCAATTGCATGGAACAAACTCATGTGAGGACATATATTGATTGGTTCACTCTA